GGACAGGCTACAGGTATGGACTACGGAGAACAAGGCCTACCATCAACCACACCACAAACCGTTGTCATGCACATCAATACCGGGCCACCACCTCCAGTGCAAAGCCCCAGCAGTCACAGTGGGTGCCCATCCTTCCAGCTGGGCAGTCTGCCAAACTCCTGGGTGTAACTATAGACAACAAACTTGACTGGAAGGCCTGCTGTAAATAACACAGTCAAGGCAGCCTGCATCGTGTGTCTAGGATGCAAATTACCCACTTAGGGTCACTTGGGACACCCACCAGAGTTGAGGACCATCTACAACGCCTTTATTCTCCCAAACTAACGTGATGCTGGCCACCAGCCTGGTCAGTTCTCTCAACTCCACCCAACAACGCCAGCTAGAAAAGGTACAGAAAAGGGTCTGCAGAATCATGCTCTCGGGCGAGAAAACTCCGGGCACAATCTCAATGCTCTCTCCACCCTGAAATGCCATCCCTCAGTGACCTCCACCACCAAGCACTGAAAGGCTTGGCAGTGGACCACTGCACCACCCTCGGCCATCTCAGCCTCCTGCCACCTGCAGGCCCTCACCCAACTCAAGCAAGAGTCCTACCACTACAACAAAAATTCAGATTATATAATCAACGACCTCACCAGCCAGGACTGGAACCCTCGCCCTTATGCGTGTGACCAGGAACGCTACCAACCATGCCACAAGGACACTAAAAGTGCTCGTAGACTTTGTTATATTTCACACAAAGCCTGTTCATCGAGCTGATGGCGCCGTGAACCTCCCAATGGTAAGTGCCCGTGCCACATAAGTGCCCTCCTGGCTTTGGCCATCTTTCAAGTTTTTGCTTTTCCCTGTTTATGTGTTTTGGACCTCCCTTCCCCTCCCCCCCTTTTTCTTCTTGTGTGGTGCTTCACGCCAAGGAATTCCCTTTGTTGGTTGTTTTTCCCCACGAGGGTGACCATCCACGTGTAAGTGCTGTTGTCTCGTTTGCAGTTCCTTGTAGTCATGTTCTGTGGTTTCCGAGCTGGTGCTCATTCCTCCTCTTCGAGTTGCTCGGATAGGCTTCGGTTTTCCCACTCTACTCCCGCCTCCCTACTTCTGTGTGTTCTTGGATGGGTGACGGCCGTTTTTTCTCTCGGTTTAGGGTAGGGCAGGTGCGCGGGAGGAGAGGGGGTTTCTTTCCCCCTCTCCTATCCTCCCTCCTCCTCCCCGTCTTCCATATTTGTCTGTTTTTCACTTGGGTTGGCCCGCCTCTCTTCTTCGCATATTTGTTCGTCTTCAACCTCTCCCT